TTGGAAAGACTTGAATATGTATTTAATTCCCCTCCCCTATCCCCTAACAATGATGGCAAATTTTGTGAATTGTTTCTCTCTTTTGACTCTTATCTGGCTCCCAAACCTTTTGCTTCCCAACTTGACTTTGTAGTTCTGTTTCTACTTGTTTATTATTGGTTTTGTTCTTGTCTAGGCTTATTTTTTAAATGATGTTTTTAAATGTTCTGTTTCTCCCTCCAGGCCAGTATAAAGGACTTGAGTATTTCTTAATAATCCCCAAAATGAATTTCAGAAGTGCCATTCTGATTTAAGGTCTTTATTTTTTTTAAATCACTTTATCTGTGTGTTTCCAGCACTGATTATCTTCATAACCCATTAGGTTAGAACATTAGCAGTCATTCATATCCTGTGATTAGTTAATTGAATCATTAGTTCCCAGCAGTTGCCCTGAGGCAAGTAGAAACAGCTCTCCGCAGTCAGTGCCCCCGGGGTCACCCAGAAAGTCTGAAAATCGGAGGCTAAAGGCACTGTGATGACTTTAAAAGCAGCTACCTTATTAAATAGTGTTTGTATCAATATGAAAATGAGGACAATCTTTCCAACTTTGGGTCTTACTTTCTGTTTTAGTTGTATACTTGTAACACTTTGTAGATTCAATTATTTGAAAATAATATGTCTTCATGGATGCCTTCATTTCTCAAATTCTAGATGCAAATGCTTAAATAACTGCAATTGGTAGAGTGACCCATGATGGTATAAATGCACCCCTTTCCTTGGACTCAGGAATATGCAACTGGCCTCAATCCCTGGAAAGAGACCAATGTGGCCATGGGTGGGAACTTTTATTCAGAATCCAATGAAGAACTTAACTGTCTGAACAAATGCATTGAGACTCCCACAGAGCTTTCGAACATCTAACAAATTTTTAAAATGTGTAACTGTAAGGTCCAAGAAGAAAAGAGTGATGTTTCTGAAACTGATGCAAAATAACTACTTTTAAAGTGCTGCATATTTATACAACTGAGAGATTATTTTTTTAGATGCAATGTCTGTGAGCTGGAACACATAAAGCAGTGCCTCAGGCATTTAAATTCACTTTTTTTTTTTTTACTCCTAGGGAGATGCAAATAAACAGAACTTTCTTGTTTCCTCGAGTCTTTATACTTTTGTTTTCTTTTTTCAAGTTTGTTTTGCCTCTAGAAACTGTTCTTATTTATTATAAAATCTTCTTCTCCTGAACACTGTGATGTTATCTGTAAATGAAGGAAACTCAGCACCAGTTCTGGTCTCTGAAAACTCCATGTTCTACTTCTGCACAACCTCTCCCCTTAACATAAGTAGTGATATTTTTTTAATAAGGATATCATTTGCAATGTCTAAAATGGTATTTTCCCAGCCTAGCCTTAAAATTTTTCCAATAAAATTTTATTTCTCTTCCATTATAAATTTATTTAAATATTTTTATTTATTAATTTACTTTGGTTCTGTACTGGAGATTGAACCCAGGGCACTCTACCACTGGACTACATCCTCAATCCAGTTTTATTTACTTTAAAAATCCATATATATTAGTGTGCCTGGCTATGGGAAATCTCACTTGGAAATTTTCAGCCCAGAAAAGCCATTATAAATACCTTTGATAGGAAGGTCTTGAAATTATAAAAGCATATCCATATTTGGAAATCGAAAAAGGAACATTTCTTATCCCCCGTCATTTTCTCAGGCAGTCTATGCACAACACTTAACAACTAGAAACTAGAAACACGATTATACATTCTAACTTCTAGACACAATTTTTAGGAATTGGGAACTTTCTCTTTGAGGCCTTTTTGCCATTCAGGGAAATGGCCGGTGGAAAATTGGGCACTCTCCCTTGTTAGCTCCTAATACGATTTAGTGTTGGCTAACTTTTTGATATGCAAGTTAGTTAAACACGGATTTTTAAAATCTCCCACAAATGTAAACTTCTCTGTCAGGGTTTGGTTCTTCGAGAAAACGCAGGGACCTCAAGTTAGGAACTACTTTCGTTTTCTCTGGCCCAGCTTGATTATTATTTTCTCCCCATGTATTACCGCCGATTGCAGGGCCTACTTCGCTATAAGAAAGAAAGAAACAGACACAGAGATAGACTCTCCATTCAGTATATAGAATCACCCCTAAAAATAGTCGCCGACAGTACACTTTGGAAAGGGTCACTGAAATTTTCAATATTTTTCTCTCAAGATGTTTTCATCAGAAACTGGCCTAATTTTCCTTCTTCCAATCGCTGTCCTCTCCTTCCCCACGTTTTTTTTTTTTTTTTTTTTTTTTTTTTTTTCCTGTAGAAGACCGCGCTGCGTTTCCTAGGTCCATTTCTCGGCTTTCCCATCGTGAATAGAAGGTTTGCCTCCACGTTTTCTTTCCATTTGAGGTTTGCAAGTCAGTTTCCCTCCGCCTAAGAGAAATGGGAGGTTGACTGAAGATTAAAATTGCGCCCAAATGCTCTCTGGTAGAATTTGGATTGAAGGCTAAATCAATAACAGATGAAGGCTTTGTTATTTTTATGTGTTCCTTTTATATTCCGAATTGCGGAGGCAGGAGAGGAATGGGTAAGTGGCCAAGGCCCTAGAAGCGAGGCCCACAGGGAGCCCGGAAGGCAAAGGGAGTTTGAGAGGCTGTTACTACGGTGAGAGACAGAACCCTCTGGGAGAGTTACTCTGAAACCTGGCACATTTTTTGCTCCGCTGGTGGGGTTCTAGGACCCGTGTGTAAGAGTGGTTCAAGAAGCGAAGGAAGCGTTGGAGACGCAAGGCCAGACAAAGAGGCGGCCGGAATGCTGCTTCAAGTCTGGCAGCCTGCTGGGTCCCTTGGCTTTGCTCTTTGGATCAGCCTCGCTGCGACGATCTCTGGCTTTACGAAGTTATCTGCGGGGCCTGGCAGCGGGCCATGACCGGGAGGATTGGCGACCCCAGGCAGGCTACACCGCCCTTCACTGTTGATCTTGACCGTGCGGAAGCGCCTCGCCAGGCGTGGAGCGCGCTCGCCATCTCCTGGGCGGTCGGCGGCATTGGCAGAGCTTACCGTTTAGCTCCGCCAAAAGCTCCTTTCCCATTCTCTCGCTCATCTGCCTAGCCTCCTTCCCGCCACCACCTCCCCCTCGGTTCTTCAGCTCCTAGCTCCCTATGGCTTTGCCTGCCAGACCTCGAAAGTCATAAACCTGGGGGATGATGTTGGGTGACTGGGCAAGAAACAATAGAGGAAGTTTAGATGTTACAGTCTTTTCTGTTTCTCGCTTGGTTGTTTTATGCATTGAGTCCTAAGAGGCAAATAGCCATTCTAAGACTGCCCCAAGAGTCCAAAGGAGACACCCCTGGGTTTGGGAATACCAGGAAGTTGCTGTGCATAGAAGACCAGAGGTGAGGGGACTACAGGCACTCTTGGAACTGGAGCTTTCTGCCTGAGGAGGCTACACCTCCTGAAAAACAGGGCGAGTCCCCCAAGATGAGAATTGTTAGGGACCCAATACCTGGTTCCCTTAGGCCTTTAGTTACAGGGTTTACAGCTTGGGCTTATCCCTATTTCCCAAAAAAAAAGGACGACCCTAAGGAAATTCTGCCACGCCCTCAAGGAGCCCCCGGATTTCCCCACCCCCATCTCCCCGCTCACCTCCCAACACCACCTCCCCTCCCCACCTCCTCACTTCCCTATCTCCCCACCTCCATCCCCCACCCCCGCCCTACAGCAGGAGGAAGAGGCCGACTGCTTTCTCCAGAGCCGCCCAATTGGTCGCCATAACTCACACAATAAAGTCAGCGCGGTGGTCAGCCTTGCCCTCTGGCGGCGCCTGTGTGGTCTCGGTGCTGGAGCTGGCGATCTAACCAGTTCCAGCTTGGCTCGGGACTGCGGGGCCTGCTGCAGGTTGGGGCTGGCGCCCACCGCGGGGTATCTAGGGAGTTCTTGATACCCGATGCATGAGAAGACCCGTAGTCCTCCAGCTAGACTTGACAAGAGGGCCTGCAATGGGGCTGCGCATACTGTTCCCCGCGAGGAACTGCTGCCCTTCCCGCTTCTGTTTGCCAGACAGGTGAACCCGCCCGCGGCCCGCGCCCCTGGAAGCACAGAGGCAAGAAACACTGCTAGCTGGTTGCCTCCGTGAGCCCTGCTCTTCCCTGGCCAGGTGCCTTGGCTCGTCTGCCTTTTCCCACTTGGTGGTGGGAGTTTGTCCTGCACTGTCGATAAACAGTTTGGAGTTCTGGTTTGCAGGGCATAGTTGCCAAGGTGACTCCTGGCGATAAAAGGAATGCAGACTTTGGCTAGGATTGGCTACTCAAGATGCCGGATTCCCTGGTAGCAGTCTCCAGGGACCTGGACAGCAACTTCTCTAGGAGCAGAGTTCCTGGCTATGGGGACACACACCAAGACTGTTGTGAAGCATCCTTCCTTCCAGGTGCCAAATTTGGGCAGAGTTTGTGATACATTTTCTCTGCGTTTGGTAAAGCTCTCAGGTTGTCTGGGGCCTGGGACCCAGGGCTCAGGCAATGAATCTTTGCTTCCAGAATCCCTGGGGGGGAGGCCTCTTGAGAGATCCTTCCTGTATTGGGATAAGAGTGGCAATGCTCAGATGCAGGGACAGAAGTGGCCGCGCCAGACCACACTCTCTCCAGACAAGCCCAGAGGCGCCTGTTACTGAAAATGTTAAAGCTGCAACTTAAAGCCCGTAGAAGCAAGCCCGGCCCAGGTAGCCAGCGGAAGACAGGGTGGCAAAGCCAATCAAGATTAGGAAGGGTCCCAAGGGACTTGGGCAAAGGCACCCTCAGCTCAATGTCTCCAGCTTCTGAAGCCAGGCCCGGAAACTCGCAGAAGCTTCGCCTTGCTTAACATGCTTTGGCTCTGCCCGCAGCCTTGTCCTTCGCCATCGAACATTACTGGTGTTATCATAATACCCTGAAGGGGGGGAAAAACGGGTCGGGGGATGTAGGCGGTGCTGAAATGACCGACTTTGAAGAACCTGCAGGCAAAGTTTCGTCCAATCGTCTGAGCCTGTCCTCTTATTCCCGGTTGTAACTAAATACTGTTGCGAGCGCAGCCGAAGCCCTTTGTTGGAGATGTGTGAGCGCAGTCTCTACAGAGCGGGCTATGTGGGTTCGCTTCTGAATCTGCAGTCGCCCGACTCTTTCTACTTTTCCAACCTGCGGCCGAATGGCGGCCAGTTGGCCGCGCTTCCCCCCATCTCATATCCGCGCGGCGCGCTGCCCTGGGCCGCCACGCCTGCTTCTTGCGCTCCGGCGCAGCCTGCCAGCGCTACTGCCTTTGGCGGCTTCTCGCAGCCCTACCTGGCTGGCTCTGGGCCTCTTGGCTTACAGCCCCCGGGGGCCAAGGATGGACCCGAAGAGCAGGTCAAATTCTATACGCCGGAAGCGGCCTCTGGGCTGGAGGAGCGCGGCCGAACGCGGCAGCCCTTCGTCCCTGAGTCTAGCCTGGCCCCTACAGCAGCTGCTCTCAAAGCAGCCAAGTACGACTACGCGGGTATGAGCCGTGTGGCTCCAGGCTCGGCGACCCTGCTCCAGGGTGCCCCCTGCGCCGCCAGCTTCAAGGAGGACACCAAGGGCCCGCTCAACTTGAACATGACAATGCAGGCGGCGGGCGTCGCCTCTTGCCTGCGACCTTCGCTGCCCGACGGTAAACGGTGCCCACACTCCCCGAGCCGGTTTGGGCCGGATGGGAGGTGGGATGCGGGGAGGGGTTGTAGGGGGAGGGGAACCGCCGAGGGCGGGCGATCGACTGGGAGCCGGCAGAGCTGACTTAGGTTGGGGCTGTGTTGCAGGCCTGCCGTGGGGGTCGGCCCCTGGGAGGGCCCGCAAGAAGCGGAAACCCTACACAAAGCAGCAGATTGCGGAGCTGGAGAACGAATTCCTTGTCAACGAATTCATCAACCGACAGAAGCGCAAGGAATTGTCCAACAGGCTGAACCTCAGCGACCAGCAGGTCAAAATTTGGTTCCAGAACCGGCGTATGAAGAAGAAGCGCGTGGTGCTGCGTGAGCAGGCGCTGGCGCTCTATTAGCCGCTAGTGTGGCGGGCTGACGAGCCAGGCCTGCCCTTTTGGACCGAGGCCTGGCTTGCGTGCGGGGGAGGTGCTGGGGGCTGAGGCTTTTCTTTTGGCTCCTACTCCTACTGATCCCGGGTACTCTCCTGCTCAGTCTACAGCCCCAGAGGACAGTAGGAGATTTGGAGATGAAGCCAATTGGGCCTTTTTGCTTTCCCCTCTCTCTGATAAGCTCCTAAGGGCATTTGGATGTTGCAATGCACCCTTAACTTTAAGGCTTCCATGTGGTGCCTGGAGTCACCTGTACTTGCTCTTGTCTGGGTCATTTGCCATGAGGACTCACTCTTGAACCCTTGGACTTGGATTTTCTGTTAGTTAGTTCTCCTTTCTTCCCAACCCTTTCTGCATTTAGCAGACGCCTAGCTTGATGGATGGAAGTGAACATAGGAATACCTCAGGATCCAGCCACAATGGAAAGGGCTGTGGATACACCTTTCCAACTGAAGTCCTTTGTGGCAAAGCCAAGATCTCGACTCTAGAGGAAGGAGAGGGCCAGTTTCCTCCTCCCATCTGCCTTGGCTGATTTGGGAGGACAAAAGTTGCCCTAGACATTCAGACTTGGGTGGTGGGAGGAGAGGGATTGGGTGGCCAGACAAACTGAGAAACCTCTCAGAATGCAGACTGGACAGGGCCCTCCAACTGGGTAGAATGGGCTAAAGATGGGAAGGAAGAGAGGCTGAGACTTCAGAGCAAACTGCATTCTCCTAACAAGATAAGCAAAATTCTGCTACTTCTCCCACTCTTCATATATAGCTAAACCAGGCCCATGCACCCTATAACTTGGACCCCCAGAGCTGAGCTCTGCTTAGGGGAACTGCTGGTCTGCTTTGAGGCTTGATGCACAGGTAGGAGAGAAAGATATCCATGGGGAAGAGAAGGGATTAAACAAGAGGAAGAGGAGTCCTACACTGTAAATAAGGCTTTGAGGTGGAAAAGATGTCTAAGTGTCTTTCTGGAAGTACCTTAGTGTGCTACCACAAGGAGAGGTAAAAACTCCTCCTCAAAAGTTAGGGGATGGGAAGGAGACCTCTGAGATTCTCAGTCCCTGGTTGCTGCTCTTGAAGAACAGAGAGGACCAGAAGTTCCTCTCTTACCCTCTCCATCACCCACCAACTCCATCAAAGGCCCATGTACTATGTCCCTTCTGAGACATATCCAGCCTGCCCTGCTTGAAGCCTATGAAGCCCTGGGCCCTACCAGGTTTGTCTTGTGGATGCCAGGGTTCCTGAATCCCAGACAGTGTTGTTCGGGGTGTGCTAGGGCTAGTAACCTTATTCTTCCAACCTTATTCTAATGTACCCAAGCCTCCCCCTTCCCAAACTACTATGGTCCCTGACTTTTCTCTTTCTGAGATGTAGCACCCTCCCAACTCCTAGCAAGATGCAGGATAGGCCAAGGGTTCATGATTCCTTCCCATAGTCCCTGTGATTTCTTTTCAGCAGAGGACCAGGGCCTGTACCTGGGAAGGGCATCTTACAGGGAGGCTTGATGTTTAGACTATTTCATTTTCTGTGCTAATAGTTGTCATGAAATTTTGTTTTGATTTTGTCGAAAACAATTTCTTGTATATATTAGACACAGAAATGTTTTTGAGTGGAAATAAATTTTCAGGCCCCAGCCAAACTGTTAAGGGGCTGATGTTGATTTTTGAAAATGCTTTGGATTCCCTTCTAATGTTTTTCAAGCCACCAAATTCGTTTTTCCCCACTGGTTGTGGTTTTACCTCAGGTGTTGACTGTTCATTAAATGGGAAAAGGGCTTCTGAGGCATTCAGGAATGATTTATAAAAGCCCATGAACAGAATATGTATAAAATATCCAAAGGGGGGAAGGCGACCTTGGACAGATTTGAGTGTATCTTCAATACCAAGGGGACTCAGCTTGTTGTGTGTTGAGGTTTCTATATTTTACCTAAATTCTCAATGTTGAGTCTTGCTATTAAGAGGTGGGGTGCCAAAATTTGAGGTTCCTCATATTTCAAAACAAAACATCTTTCTGCCAAGTTTTAGTCAGGCTTCTCTGGAAGAGGCCACGCCTGCTGAAGATACCTGAAAGGACCTTTGCCAGGATCCCTGTGGGCCCTAGGGGAAATGCAGCTTCAAGACCTGCTCCCCATGCCTTTGTAGCCTCTAATTCAGTCCTGTAAAACCAGAACCTGCTTGGTACTCCCTGGCAAACCCCCAACTCCTAACTGACGGAGGAGGAAAATAGCTCTCAGATAATTAGTAAAATAGATAAATTCCTAATACTGAGTATTCTACATTGTAACTCCTCTTCTTTGGAGCAAATTTGATTTATCTTGAACAGTATCTTAATTGGTGTTTTTTTTAAAATTATGTATACACAATGGGGGGGAAAAAACACGAAGTGCTGAAGCCTTCCCCACCTGGCTGTGCACTGGGAGGCGGTGGTTTCCAGAGCTTGGTCTCAGTCTCAGTCTGTATTCAGAGGTTTGCCTTCTTGAAAACAACTGAACAAAGGCGGAAGCCACACTGAGACCTCGGGTCCAGAGGGCTGAGGAAAGGAAGAAGAAACCAGACTTATTCAGATCCAGGCTCTAAGACAACATATATAGGTTGTTTCTCTAAAAATACATACCATTAAATCTCCATGTTCTTTCCCTTTAGTCTGGGATGGGGGCGATATTCATGAAGACCACTCCCCACAGAGAAATTATTCTAAATGTAAAATCTTATCTGTTGGTTCAGTGGTGTTTTCCATATGTATCCCTTTTGCTGATCCACACAAATACAAATACCACGGTGTTTCCTTCCTAGCTGAAGTCCCAGCAGAGATTTGGAATCACGAGGAAATTTGTAAGAAATAAATGGCAGAGAGAAATGATGCTGAAACGAGTGCTCAACAATCCCTCGTAGAAAGATAAATGTGTCCTCCAAAATGCTGCAGTCCACTGGGCCTCTTGACTAAGAAAAAAGGTTTTAAAAACGAGGCAGGGAGTGGGGGAGACTGTTTATTCTGGTATTCAATCGGCTTCTAGCTCAGAGGATCGACCACGGAAGCTTTTTAAGTCCTGGGGGTTCTCCCCAAGGGAGGCGGCTGGGGAGGCTTCCGGGATGCGGGCCGGTGGAGGAGAAATCCAGAATCATTGTAAATATTCATGTCTTCTGGTGAAGGAGGGAGGTGTATGTGTGCCCCATCACTGGCCTCTACCAGCTGCATCCACCCCCTCCTCCCCCAGCGGTGGTGGTGGGGGCAAGGCGCCTGACCGACAGTCCCTGGACAAAGGTGATCTCCCCACATTTTTGTTCTCTAATCCCTCAGACTTCAGGAGTCCTCTTCTAAGGCTCTGCAGGGAAGAGACTGGCTCTGGGTGTTTTTCCCTGCTTTTCCCTTCTTTCGTTTCCTAAAAGAGCATAAATAATTAAAGTTTGGCAGGGAGGAAAAGCTTTCTTGCAGAACTGTAGTGGCAATAAATGAAATGACTCAGAATCCCTTCCCCAGTCAGCTTTTACGAGAGCTGCCAGACAGTGTCTGTTCACGTTCTCCAGATACCAGGGGCGCCCTGACAAAGTTAAGGTCAAGTTAGTGTCTTATCTTGGGTGGCTCAAAATTACCGCATCGCGTCTCGGCGCTGCGCGGAAAGCTATCGTTTGCAGAGCTGCTAGCTGCGCCCCGAAGGCCTGGTGTGTTCTCTGCGTTTCGGGTGGGGCCGCATAGGCAAGGACAAGGCCACAGCGCCCGGGTCTTCACGGTAGGTTCTCGAGAGAGCGGGGAACGCGCGGGTCCAGAGGCTGTGGTTTTCCTTGTTTTTGGGGGGAGGGGGGTAAGGATAGAGCAGGCAGCTGGGGCCAAGAGCGAATCGGGTTGGGCCCAGAACGAATGCCCTGGGTTGGGTAAGGGGGGGGGGGGCGAGTGTCTGTGCTAATGCGCCAAGGGGGCCCATTGCCCCCTTCCCCTATGCACCCCGGCGCCTCTGCAGATGGCGCACCCTTTGCTGCCAAAGCGCGGCTCCCGCCGGAGCCGCCGTCGCCATGTCGTTGAACTTGAATGGTTCGTCCTCTCCATTTCCCTTTTCGGCGACCAGCAGGCTTCATTTGGGGGGCGGCGGACTGCCTGAGCCCCACTCCGTGCGGTGAGGAAAGAAGGTGTGAGAATTTTTTGCATTCCTCCCCGACACTCGAAGACCATACTGGGGGGCCCCCGCCACTGCCCTGGGTCCTGAACGATCGTAGGGCCAGTGTGCAGTGTCCGGGGAGCCATTTTAGAAGAGAGATCCAGGGGCGTCGACCAGGAGCCAGAAAGGGAGAGCCTTGGGGCTGGGATGGAGATAGAGAAGCAGATAAGTGTGCCGGGATCTGGGCTGGGGCGAAGGGTGCAAGCTGAAATCTGGTCTGGGGTGCCAGCTGCCGGGAGGGGGCACAGAATGGACAGTTCTAGGTGAGGAAAGGCTTGGTGCCCTCCAGTAGCCACTGACCTGTTTGCGCAGTGTTGGGGGAGGGAAGCAGATGTGGAAGGGGCGGAGGAATAAGAGGAAGGAGAAAAGGAGGGAGGAGAAAAAGAGGAAGGGGGGGAACATCAGCCAGAAAATAGATATTAGCTCAGACCACCCGCCTTTTCTCTGTCTGTCGGCACGGTGGACAGAGAGCACAGCACCAGCACTTCAGCAGCCCGGGCGGGGAAGAAACCAGCATCACAGCCAGCACCGCCTGCTCTGGACATAGGGCTGAGGCCCAGGCCTCAGTGCTGTGTTGCTTGGACAGAGAAATCCTGGGGATGGAATCAGTCTCCTGCCCTGGTTCTGGGCTTCGGGTTTGAGTAGAGACTGGTTTACCTTTGTAAAGCCCTGGTGGGCTGTGGGAACCCAGGCCTTGCCTGCCTGGAACCCTGAGCTAGGAGAGGGTTGCTGAAGCTAGAGGAAATTGAAGCCTTGGGGCGATTGAATGTATGGGAAGTGCTGAAGAATCTGCCTTAGCGCCAGGTGGTACAGAGGGGCTTTAGTTTGAGGCAGACGATAGTGAGACCCTTGGAGAGCCAACGGATGTCCCGGTGGGCTGCAGTGGCCATGCCGACCAAAGGGCAAAAGGAGGTTCGGGAGAGCCCTGTGGGTGAGCAAGCCTTGGCAGGGCTCTCACAGCAGTGAAGGGTTTGGGTGTTTGGCAGACTGGACCCAGGCCAGGCCTCAAATCAGTGGGGGTAAGGAGGGCCTGAAGCACCTGGGTGTTTCTCTCTCCTGGTGGGTGAGCTGAAGGCCAGGCACAGTGAAGGTAGGACACTAGATTCTTTTGTTCATAAGACAATCCCCCTCCCAGCTTTTAGGGAAGCCAAGGCTTTGGGGTGTCTCTGCTGGCTGAGCTCCCTCCTCCTTTAGTACTGAGAGAGAAGACAAGCGACAGGGAGAAAGAGACAGTGACACTCAGCTTAGAGAAAAGGAGAGAGGATGAGGAGACCGAAGAAGATAGGGGAAAGAAAAGGAAGAAGGGAAAAAGAAATAGAGATTGAAAAGAGAGAGGACTGGATAGAGAAAAGGGAGAAGAGTAAAGAAAAGAAGGAGGGAGACAAGAAGAGGGGGGAAACCAGAAAGGAGGAGAGAGGATTGAATGGGCACCGAGGTCCTGGCCTGGACCAGAGCCTGGGAGGCGTTTGGCGTGGGTTTTTCTGAGGCCAGCTCTCGCGCCCCCTGGGTCAGAACCTGAGAGAGCCAAGTTACTCCGAGGTGAATGCTCTGGGCAGAGAAATATGTAAATCAGGGTTCCCTGATCCCTGGAGAGTGGCGCAATTACACCCCTTGAACAAGAAGCAACAAGCTCCCTGGCGGGTGAGCTGCAGAGGGTGGCGGCATGGCGGGGGAGGGAACGGCTGCAGGAAAGGGGGTGGGAGTGGGAACCTCACACCCTCACACCTAGTCCCCTGTGCCAGGGCAGGGGCTCCCCCCTTCGCTTACCGCTTCTCTCCCTTCCCCCTTCCTCCCCCTTCTTCCCCCTCCCTCCTCCTCCCCGCCAGCCGAGGTCCGCGTACTTAAAGCCGCGCGGGCGGGCGAATGCGGGCGGGCGGCCCATTCGGGCGGTGGCAGATGCGCCCAGCGGTGGCAGCCGCCGGCGACGCGCAGGTGACCGGCCTGCGGCACAGCCTGGTCAGGGGGCGCCTGGGGAGAGCTGGCGGGAGAAGGAGGCCGATCCGCCCCCAGCGTGCGCGCGTCTCGGCGCCAGGAGTCGTCCCGGGGCGTGTTGGCGAGCACTGATATAGATATAAGGACATTTCTCTCCATGGCGTCACGTGACATAATTACCACCAGAATCAATCAAGATGAATTGCACGTCAGCGCCCGGTGGGGATTTTTGCTTAGTTGATCCTGGCCCAAGCCTCTTGTGCAATCGATGGCTCAGGTTGGCGGCGCGGGGAGCGGCCCGGGGCTTGCCGGCGTGCACGCCACGGAGCCATGAACGACTTTGAGGAGTGCGGCCCGAGCGCAGCCAGCATGTACCTGCCGGGCTGCGCCTACTATGTGGCCCCGTCGGACTTCGCTAGCAAGCCGTCGTTCCTTTCACAACCGTCGTCCTGCCAGATGACTTTCCCCTACTCTTCCAACCTGGCACCGCACGTCCAGCCCGTGCGCGAAGTGGCCTTCCGCGACTACGGCCTGGAGCGCGCCAAGTGGCCATACCGTGGCGGCGGCGGTGGCGGCGGCGGCGCGGGGGGCGGTGGCGGCGGGGGCGGCCCTGGCGGGGGCGGCGGCACCGCTGGGGGCTACGCTCCCTACTACGCGGCGGCGGCGGCTGCAGCGGCTGCGGCGGCGGCGGCCGAGGAGGCAGCCATGCAGCGCGAGTTGCTCCCGCCGGCGGGTCGCCGGCCAGACGTACTCTTCAAGGCGCCAGAGCCGGTGTGCGCAGCGCCCGGGCCACCACACGGCCCCGCGGGCGCCGCCTCCAACTTCTACAGCGCGGTGGGCCGCAATGGCATCCTGCCGCAGGGTTTCGATCAGTTCTATGAAGCGGCGCCCGGGCCCCCATTCGCCGGACCGCAGCCCGCGCCACCGCCCGCGCCGCCACAACCCGAGGGTGCTTCTGACAAGGGTGACCCCAAGACCGGGACTGGTAGCGGCGGGGGCAGTCCCTGCGCCAAGGCGATCCCCGGCTCGGAGCCCAAGGGGGCAGCGGAAGGTGGCAGCGGAGATGGCGAGGGCCCCCCGGGGGAGGCGGGGGCCGAGAAGAGCGGCGGCGCAGGTAGGCAACTGGATGCAGGGCGAGAGGCTGAGCCCGGGGGCCTCGGGCGCGGGGGGGCGGCGGCGGGGGCCTCCCTCTGCTTGCGCCGTTTTATGTGCTACTTTATAAGCATTCGAAGGGGTTTATACATCCTATAAGATTTCCCGGGTCGTTGTAAAGCGTGTTTATGATAGGAAACCAATTTAGGTGGGCTTAAGGTAGACTTCGAGGAGGACATTAATCGCAGTAGAGAGCTTTCCCTCTGTTTTAGTAAGGGGGTGCTGAAGACCATGGAGAGAGGGAGTGAGATTTTGAGCCAGCTGGTGAGTGTGGACACGCGAGCCTCCGGCTTTTAAGGGAGGAGGGGTGGGTGATCCTTGCACTGGACTTTATCCAAGCCGCTGGCTGACGCGCACCGCTGGAATGGAGCAGATGCCCCCGCGGGCGCACTCGTGTCTCTCTTCTCTTGGGTTCCAGTTAAAAGCCTGACTCGCCCTCCTCTTTCCTATCTCCGTGCCAGGCTGGTTGTGTGTGTGTGTGTGTGTGTGTGTGTGTGTGTGTGTGTGTGTGTCCGTCCGGGCGTGAACATAGGTCCACGCCTGCACTCTCCTGTGCCCGCCCATATATCATCCCCCACGACGCAGGCAGGGCCTTTCAGCGACTGTAGGGGACGTCCCTAACGGGGCCAGGGCCTGGCCCTAGCTCAGTGGCGGGCGGGCGGGGGCCCCCCGGCAGACAGTGGCCTTTCTCACCCCTTGATCTCTTTCCCTTGCAGTGGCCCCCCAGAGGTCCCGGAAAAAGCGCTGTCCCTACACCAAGTACCAGATCCGCGAACTGGAACGCGAGTTTTTCTTTAACGTATATATAAACAAAGAGAAAAGACTCCAACTCTCTCGGATGCTCAACCTCACTGACCGGCAAGTCAAAATCTGGTTCCAGAATCGCAGGATGAAAGAAAAGAAACTGAACAGAGACCGTCTGCAGTATTTCACTGGAAACCCCTTATTTTGAAAGCTGCAGGAAGCGCCCCCTCCCCAGAGCCCCACTGACCCACCCTCCTCCCCACCAGCCTGCCCTCCGCAGGCCCAATGTCCTTGGGTTTAATGACGCCTCTTCTCTGTGGAACTTCACGATTACTTCCCACGGTCAACTCAAGACCTCCCAGCGACCACTGCAGCCTGCGGACCGGGGACTTGGCCGAGCGGATCCTAATAAGGGGAAAATGGTAAATGCAAACGTCCCTTTACAATTTTACCGCCAATGTGCTGTCGTTCCCCCTCCCCCTCTCAGAGTCCTCGCGGGGACCCAGCAGGATCTGTAGGGAGTTAGGCCACAGGGCTAGAAGGCGCTGGCGTTTTGTTCTGAGATTAAATAAGATATCCCTTCCTTCCCCCTCCCTGAACGCAGATTATTTAAACTCTGGGAACTGTACCTTTGGTCTGTCATATCAAGGCATGAGTCACTGTCTTTTTGTGTGTGAATAAATGGTTTCTAGTAAAATTGAGGTCACAGCTTCAATACACTGTATGAATTTTCCTCTTCGAAGAAGTTTAGTGACTGATTAGGATATTGTAGTGGCCAGAACCCTTCTCTGAAAATCGAGTGAAATACTTTTTTAGTCTCTAAAAATAGGAGTTGTTCCCTCCCATCTCTGGGAACACTGTTTTTAAAAATCATGTTAGTGATGAATTTCTAAAAAGATGTGACCCAGCCATGCTGGTGCTGTCCTCTTTAGGCAGTGAGGCTGGAGCAGAAGGAACCTAAGAAGTGAATCCCCACCCCCACTTCTAGTCTACTGAACTTGGAATTTCTGAAAAGACAAACAAAAATTTAAAACTGATTAGAAAATCCAAATTATCTCTTAACAAGGTGACAAGGAGCCAGGGTTCCTTAAAAGAAGAAACCAAATTTAGAACCCTCCTTGTTAATATGTAAGTGGAGGGATGCTAAAATGAGGTTTAGTGAGTGGAAAGGGTTTGGGGTCCTTGCTAGTGTCATAGTGGGCCTGTACCAGGGAATGTAAGCCCCCCTCATTGGATGCGGGCCAAGGGCTGCAGACCTGCTTCTTCCTGCATTTATCGCTTTAAGTTAAAGAATGTGGTGAGGGCTGCACTGCACTTTATGTTGCAGGGCCAGGCCAGGCTGTTTACAAAACCTTGAACTGTCTAGACAACACCATAAAAGCCAAAGTTCTAAACAGCTTAATTGGGTTATATTATACACCTTCTGGTGGGCCCAAAAGAGATTTCCGCAACGTGCAATAAACTGGAGAAGTGAGAAAAGCTTCTCTTTCTCTGAAAAGAGTGAACTGAATCTTATGACTCTTAACCTCTCATAAGCCCAAACTCAAAATATAAATCCATAAGATGCACAGCACCTCATGCATCTTCTGAGGCAGTATGCATTTTACATGCAGCAATATTTAATTGCTAAGGCTCTTGGGGGAAAAGGAAAAACATAAGTGCATAAGTGTATGCCTTTGAACTTCCAAAATGTCAAGGTCATCACCTTTAACCTCTCTGAATAATTAGGCGCCTTAAGGTTCTTCTGTGATTTTCAACTGCCACCCACTCTCATACATACATGCTCACACATACAGACCCATGCACACATTTATGACCACACAGAATCCTACTGGGTGCTCCCCATAAATCTAAGAAAATTTCTAATTTCAGGATCAATAACCTTAATTTCCCTTCAAATATTTGAGCGATTCAGTAGCAATTGACTTCTTTTTTGAAAATACTAGTTAGACTAAAATGCTTATTAGCTTTCACTACAACTGGGATGTGCTGGAGATGTGGGGGGGGGGTCTTAAGAAATGTTTCCCTTTGCTCTAATGAAGGACTGCAGTATTAAAAGCAGGCATTTGAAAAAGTAAGTTCTGTTCAGACTTACATCTTTGTTATATTTGAAAGCAATTTGCCACCCATCAAATAAATTATGGCACTTTCTAAGCTATGGAACAAAAGAAAATATATTTGTATGGTCTTTAAAAGCCTCTCTCAACCTTTGGTGAAAGATGTAATAGAAACAAGGCGGACAAATGATTTCGTTGGGAAGGGGATTCCTTTGTTTGAAATTCTGGGCATCAGTTAAAATCTGAATGCCTTATTAGTATGATCTTCTTAGGAGCTTAACATTAGTTTATTTTTCTCTCTCCGTCTGTATTTTTTTTTTTTAACTGCATCTAAATGTAGCAAGTTTGTGCGCCAGCCACCCTAGGTAAGCCGAACGGAGAGGTACCATTTCGCCTTTGCAGGGGCCTGGACAGCCACACGAGGGCGCGCTCACGTTCCAGAAGCCGCGTTTGGTGGAGAGGCTGCGGTACCTTATCTATCCAATACTGGATTCTAATAAGCAATCTCCGCCCGTTAGAAACAGGCGGCAGCTAAGGTGTTTTGCTGTTTGTACTAAGCAGCTCCTAAGTGTGAGAAGTTGTATGGAGACAGAACAAAGGGAGCAACTACATTCCTGCAACAGGAGATTGCTTAATCGTTGTCTCCTTGAAGATAAAGCTGTTGCAAATGATACCTTGGTATAATCTGATGATGTCGAGGAGAGATTTTTTTAACAGATAAATTAGGTATTTTGAAATATGTCATAGCCACTGAGAGTTTATTAAGTTAGCAAAAATAATTTTTCTTGTTGGTTTGAGTGTGGAGAGTGATGTCCGGGGTAGAATCCTTCTTCCCGGCTCTCCAAAACCACATGCGGTCTTGTGAGCGCTCAGATCTCTGGGATGATTAAAAGGGTTTTGTTTAAGACACATTCAGGCTTTGGTAATTTAGCTGAGTGTATATGCAGGGGGAAAAAATGAGACGCATTGAGGGACAAGGATGTCGTTCTGGGTTAGGGAGCCTGGAGTCATGCCTGGCACAGGGTTCTTCCAGGCGACCGGGGAGGCGCAGGCAGGACTATAAGTTGGAGTGCGGGTGCCGAGCTGGGCTGACGCGGCTGCAGGAAGCAGCGGGCTCTCTCGGGAAAATGTTTATACTTGAAGGCGTTGTGGGACAGAAATGTATTTGAGGCAATCGGGTGTTGCATTTGACAGAACCGGAGCCACCCTTCCAAGCAGCCCCCTGGCCTTGAGGTGTTAAGCTTGTTTTTGGCGTTGCTTTCAGAAGCAGTTAATTCACTGCGTGCCCTCCCCACCCAGTAAAGCCCCTAACATTGGGGAGTGTCTGTAACCCCAAAAGGGAGAGGACAGGACAACAGGATATGGGCAGCTCTAGGAGAGGATGGCTGCCCTCTTTTCCCATCAGAAGTTCATTGTGAAGAGCTTGCAGCTCTGAGAATTAGCGCTGGCCTCGTTGTCAGCAGTCTCTGCATCCCGCCTTCCAAGCACTGGACCTAAGACTCTGGGACCCGCCTGTCCGCTAGCTCCCCCGCCTCCGGGAGCTGGCATTGGCTTTCCGGGAGGCTGGGGCGCCATGACTCCCCGGCAAGGCGCCAAGGAGAGGCGTGGGTGTTCCCCGCGGGTATCCCGGGCTCCGCCTGTCTGGCCGCGGGTCCAGCTTAGCTATTGTGAAGCGACCTTTTCTGGTGCTTAACCCGGGCTTCAGTCTGCGTGGGGTGAGAAGTCTCTCCCCAAATGTCGTTGTGTTCCTGGGTAGGCGGCCCCAGCAATTGCGCATCTGGCTGTGCAGGGGGCCCCTTGGCCTTGGCTGGCAGCCGCCAGCGACCAGGGCTGTCTGCAGCTCCTTTCCTCCTGGCAGCTTCCAACATAGGCCTGACATAGATGTGGGGGTCCGACCAGAACCTCTGGAGACTGAAGACCTTCCCCTCCCCCGACCTTTCAGAACGTGTGGGGCTCGCAGAGGGTAGCCATAGATGCTGAAGCACCAAAGTCGCAGATTCTTAAGTGGAGGGAAAATGCGCGAAGTAGGAGTCTTTTGTGTCTGTACAGAAAGAGGCTCTAGGGCTGCGGCCCTTTTGCACGTCTCTGTGGACTCCTTATCGCCATAGTGGTAGTCTCTCCATTTGCCCCCGGGATTTCTTTTCACCTTAGCCAGGTGGTGCACAGTGCAACCGGGAGGGGCTGCCCTGGGGAGGTCTCCTTTAATATGCCCCCATCCACTCTGTCCCCCCAAAGTGACATTGCCTAGAGGCTGCTCAGGACTAATTCTAGGTGACTCTAAGAACCCCCAGGTTCTCTCAGGCTCAGGGGCTCCAATCTTCTTTCCAGAGACAGAAGAGTGCAGATGCAAGTCACTTTTAAAAAAATTTCCAAACGCTAATTTCTTGCTAAGGCGGCCCTTTTAATTTTTTTTTTCTGGAAATAACTGTGCCAGGGAGAAGGGTGTCTTGATACAAATATGGGTATCCATCTCTTTTATAATGCAATATTGATTTATTATTAATGGTAACTGTCCCAACTGATCTAAATATGATCGAAATCAGCAACTACATTAATGCTCTAAGCAAAATAAAGGTTGCCTTTAAAGCCACTGCCTTTTAATTCCATTTGCTTCATCTCAGCCTTTAAGTCTTAAGGTTCATTTTTTATTATCCTCCATCCAAATCATTCTCTCGTATTATTGTTTTTCTTGATTTTTAAGATAAAAATCTCTAAAATATTAATGGCCTCTGGCCCCAAGGAACGGGTCTGAAGCTAAACATTTGAAATAAAAAAAAAAAGAATTTTGTGAGAATAAATTTAAAACTCTGATATACACTTTTTCCCCCTGTGAGTGAAGACTTCTTAACATCGAATTCAATGTGGGAGACTTTGAGCTTGAAATCACAGAGAGCTAAAAGCAAAAAGGCTCCCAAATGCAGAAGGCAGCTCTTGCCTGTCCTGGTTCATAGAAGACCTACCCGCTCTGCAAAAAAACAATTGCTTGTTTTTAGCCTGGATGTTTTCTTCATGTATAAATAAGGATTATGAAAAGGCATTTGATGGGCATAAAATTCCTGATTAGATTGAACAGTCTTGCCTTGGTAGAGATAGGTTAAATTGGGCTACCGAATTCTGGGCAGCACTCCTGGCCCAGATGCAAAGGAACACAAGGCTGGAGCGCCAAGCTGGCGACAGGGCGCCTGCCGAACGCAAGTATAGCTAGCGGGCACTTTGTTTAGCTCTGGGCATGGTTAGCTGTGGCTCAGATTAGGATCTCCACAGTGTGAGAAAGGAAATTTTGGGGAGCTGATCAGTTGCTGTTATCTTTGAACAGAATCTTTGCAAGCTAGAGCCCAAAGTTGTTTTTCTTCTGCCTTCCTTAACTCCCATTCCCAAACTTAAAAATACCCACCCTGTGGAAAGGTAATGTTTAAACCTCCGCCTAAGCCAGGGTGCTTCAGCCTGAGCAGTTAGAGGCGCCAGGCTTTTAACCTGACAATGATGTTGTATTTGAACAGCTGCGTAAAGGTTTAAAAGGTCTGTCTCATTGCCACCGCGGAGTTTTTTAAAAGGGGTTATTGTTTGGGCGAGGGCACTGAGAGGGGACAGGCGAATTGGTCCCAAGGCCGAAAATAATGTCCAATGCCTGTTTTCACCAGGCCAGGGGAAATTCCTTTTGGGGAGGGGGCCAAAGGGCTTGTTGGAAAAGGTTTTTGTGAAGAAGCAGGCGGGCTACTAGGTCCCCAGGATGCAGAGGTGCTTTAATGAGCATTGGACCCCAAGGAAATTTTCTGCTGAGGCGGAAACCCGATTTACCCACAAGTTCAGTCTCTGGGCCTGAAATCCAAGGCCAGCCCATGCCTGAGTGAGTGTGGGGAAAAGAACACGGATGCCTTCGGGAACAGAGAACTGGTTCATGGTCATCAGAGTCTCCCCGGGCCGCTTTCCTTTCTTGGTTGCCCAGAAGGGGATCCGGAAGGTGGAAGGATGACTCCCTTGTGCTGGCAGGGCCCCTCACCTAAGGAAAGTCTTTGGAAATCAAGGTTAAAGCTCCCTGCTGCTGTCCGAGGCCAGGGCTTCCGCTGGGCGGCTCACCCGCCTGCAACCAGAGGAGGGAGGAAGTTGTTCAAGTTTCTCATAAAACTCTGAATTTCCATGCTGGTAGTGGTCGGTGGTTGTTCTTTAATGAGCTAGACCACAACTCCAGACCATATCCTCTTTATAGAACTTTCCCTCACCAGAGGAAACAGAGGACAGATTCCCCCATCTGTTCCCCCTCTTATCCAATCAAAATTTTGTCAAATAATTTTAAGGATTGTCCCAAACTATAGAACTCAACTTTTGACACAAAAGTATAGCTTTAAATATTTGACGATTTGTGTTAAAACAAAAATTGACCTTCTTGGTTAGTAGTGAAGGGGAAAAATCAATAGTATAATTTTCAATAATTCATAAAGCGAACGCCATTATGCTAAATCTTAACTATTAATCTTATCCTTTACAAAGTCTCGATTGATTTGTTAATAAAATATCTTCCCGTGTGTGGCAACAGCGGGTATAACTCTTTAAAAACCTTCAGAAGCAAGAAAATTACCAAGTAGCTCAAGAATGTAGATGAGAATTTTATTGATCGCCCTGATTCTTCTTAATATGTATTAATAAATTCCACAACCTTTTGTACCTTGCGCTTGTCAGAAACCAATGCTTTTACAAAATCCATAAAAGGAAAACGTATTTTTCTTTGCAGAAAAACCAAATGACACCTTTGCATTTCTCTCTCTCCTGCCTGGCCCAGTCAGTTTTCTAAAACTTCTGGAGTCTGAGGGTCAGAGTTTTCCTATTTCCTTTAGAAAATTATTTTCTTTCTCCCTCCCTTCCTCTCTGCCTTCTATTATCAGGGTGTGTGAGGAAGGAAATCTCCGTTTAGTTCTCCCGCTGGGAGCCCGAGGGACGCTTTCCCGATAGAGAACGGCTGGCCAGGGACTGTCTTCAGGCTGAAAGCTCCCAGCGGCCCGGCCCTTCAAAGGTCAGGGTGTGGTTCCTCTGAGAACCAAAGGCTCCAGTAGCTCGCAGGGGCGCGGAGGGGCTCAGAGCTGGGGCGGGAAGGCCGAGGGAGAGGACGACGCTGGGCCGGGCTCATCCTTGGGGCTCCGGAGCCGGCCAGCTGCGTGGCCTCTCGGCCCTCGCGGCCCTTTTCGCCTCCGCTTCCAGGGACACGTTGGCCGCACCTTTGCACGCGGGATCTTTCCTTTGGACCCCTGGAGTGGGATGTCTCAGGATCAGGGTAATATGATTCACCTTCCCGGGTTGCCCGGCACTAAATTAATCAGCCCGGGCCCCAATCGTCTGCCCCGGACCCGGCCCTTTTGGGCGCGTTTCTGCCTGGGTGTGTGCGCTGGAATATGCCTCTGTGTGCAGGCGCCACAGAGATCCAGCTTCCCTCCCCGCGCGTGTCCTCCCCGAGGTCCTTCCGACAGAGCCTTTCCTTCCGCCGGCGGAGCCCGGTGGCCGAGGCGGTGGACGCGAGTGGGGCAGGCAGACGGAACGAGCTGCGGGGAGGCGGGGAGGAGAGCGGGCGGCGGAGAGCTCTGGGCCAGTCGTCTCTAGCGCGCACTATCGCAGGCGCGTAGTAGATGTCGCTGTTGTCCGTGCTTACGCGGCCGGCCGGCCGGGCTCTGGAGCACGTGACCTGCGAGGAGGCTGCGGCTCAAGGCCATTTTCAAATCTCATTGGCTTGGTTGTCATGTGGTCGGCAGAGGCATCCACAATTACACGGGGAATGTTTTCCTAGAGATGTCAGCCTACAAAGGACACAATCTCTCTTCTTCAAATTCCTCCCCAAAATGTCCTTTCCCAACAGCTCTCCTGCTGCTAATACTTTTTTAGTAGATTCCTTGATCAGTGCCTGCAGGAGTGACAGTTTTTATTCGAGCAGCGCCAGCATGTACATGCCACCACCTAGCGCAGACATGGGGACCTATGGAATGCAAACCTGTGGACTGCTCCCGTCTCTGGCCAAAAGAGAAGTGAACCACCAAAATATGGGTATGAATGTGCATCCTTATATACCTCAAGTAGACAGTTGGACAGACCCGAACAGATCTTGTCGAATAGAGCAACCTGTTACACAGCAAGTCCCCACTTGCTCTTTCACCACCAACATTAAAGAAGAATCCAATTGCTGCATGTATTCTGATAAGCGCAACAAACTCATTTCTGCCGAGGTCCCTTCGTACCAGAGGCTGGTCCCCGAGTCCTGTCCCGTTGAGAACCCCGAGGTTCCTGTCCCTGGATATTTTAGACTGAGTCAGACCTACGCCACCGGGAAAACCCAAGAGTACAATAACAGCCCCGAAGGCAGCTCCACTGTCATGCTCCAGCTCAACCCTCGTGGCGCGGCCAAGCCGCAGCTCTCCGCTGCCCAGCTGCAGATGGAAAAGAAGATGAATGAAAACGTGAGCGGCCAGGAGCCCACCAAAGTCTCCCAGGTGGAGAGCCCTGAGGCCAAAGGCGGCCTTCCCGAAGAGAGGAGCTGCCTGGCTGAGGTCTCCGTGTCCAGTCCCGAAGTGCAGGAGAAGGAAAGCAAAGGTCGGTATGAACAGAGTTGCCACCCCAGCGGGGCGCGCAGTCTGGAAACCCAGCGGAGAGGGAGCGCTTGGGTGCCCAGCGCGGAGCCCAGGCAGCGGAGTCGGTTGCCCGACTTGCAGGTGCTGCTCCCGCCCGGCTTGCAGAAGGGAGATCTCAGCTTTGAGATGGTCCCTGCTTCTCTCCCGCTGCCTGGCCCTCCCCGCCGGTCTTGGCCCCACGCTGATGGCGCCTGGGCAGAGGAAAGGCTTGCCGGGTTTATTTTTCCTTAGCTAGACCTGAAACGCAACAAAAGAGGCAAAGGAGACCTGCAGCTCGTAAACAGGGCCCCAGTACCTCTTTTCTCCAGCTCATATTTGGAATCTCAGTTTTGCCTTGCACCCAAATGATTATTTTAAGGTGGCCCAAGGCACCGTGTTCGTGTTCAAGTGTATATACCCCGCATCCTGCGAGCTTGGGGTCTGTTAGGGTAACGAGATGGCTGGACTGCTTGGTGTTTGAGTGGGGGAATCAGGGATTCCTGCCTTTGCCGGGCTGGATAACCTTGGCTTTGTCTGGGAAAAGTGCCGCAGGCTTTGCAATCCGTCTACAAAGAGGGCAAAGGCACATGGGGGGAGAACAGAACCGCATTGCCCACTTCCCAGGGCCAGCCTTAGGGTTGGACTAGGGCAAAGAACCAGGGATCTGGGTTTTTGAGAAGGAACCCTATCCCCTGAGCCTCTCTCCCAGTGCCCAGAGGTGGGCCACAATGCAGGTTACATTTCTGGGGGAATGCTTTTGTGTTGGAGCAAGAAGGCATGAGAATTCAGGAAATTCTGGGGTAAATGCAACAATACTCAGGCAGAGTAGAGAAGATATCCTTGCTTCCTCATTTATCTTTAGAGACTAGGCACCTATAAACCTGGCTATGGAGCTCCCTGCCTGCCTAGGGTAGGTAGGAGAAGAAGCAACAGATCTGGGAACCTGAGGAAGCAATGGGGTTGGAAGGTTTGTCTAGGCTATGGCTTCTTCCATTCCTGCTCTGTCATGAGCTGACCACTGAGAATGTCACTAGGAGGTACAGAAAAGTTTACTTTTATACTAATGTTTTGTTTGAGTCAGAAAGTTGCGCGTGTGCTTGCATGTGTGGGAGAGGGAGGGGAGAGAGAGAGAGAGAGAGAGAGAGAGAGAGAGAGAGAGAGAGAGACCCCACTGATGCAGACTGTCTTCCCATGTCACTTTGGGCATTTAGTTTGAAATTTGGCATCGATTTAAAATCCCTTCCAGGGTCCATCTCTGGAGTAATGTTTAATACCAGGGTTGCCCAAAGCAGCCTGCCTGCCAGCAGGTCATGGCCAAGGGTATATTTGAACAGACTGAGAGAAAGAAAAAAAAAAAAAAAACTTCTTGATTTTTTTCTTCTCCCTTTAATTTTGTTAGAGGAAATCAAGTCTGATACTCCAACCAGCAATTGGCTTACTGCAAAGAGTGGCAGAAAGAAGAGGTGCCCTTACACTAAGCACCAAACGCTGGAATTAGAAAAAGAGTTCTTGTTCAATATGTACCTCACCCGCGAGCGCCGCCTAGAGATCAGTAAGAGCGTTAACCTCACCGACAGGCAGGTCAAGATTTGGTTTCAAAACCGCCGAATGAAACTCAAGAAGATGAGCCGAGAGAACCGGATCCGAGAACTGACCGCCAACCTCACCTTTTCTTAGGTCGGAGGGCCGGTGGGAGGCCAGGATCAGAGAGGGGCACCGCGTTCCAGAGCCCAGTGCTGGAGGACTGGGAAGGTGGAAACAAAACCTTCATTGCTCTTTGTTTTTTTGTTTTTGTTTTGTTTTGTTTTCCTGCTAGAATGTGACTTTGGGGTCATTCTGTTCGTGCTGCAAGTGATCTGTAATCCCTGAGTATATATATATATATATATATTAAAAAAACTTACCACGTGTAATTTATTATTTTTTCATCATAATGCAGGGTAACTATTACTGCACATTTTCATTTGGGTCTTAACTTATTGGAACTGTAGAGCATCCATCTAACCATCCATCCATCCATCCATCCATCCAGCAATGTGACCTTTTTCATGTTTTTTTTTTTCTAACACAAAAGTTCTCTGTGTGTGGTTAATCATGAACTAATGACATTTTGAAAACATCCAGTACTTTTTAAATTACACACATATATATATATATTTAAGAAAGATTAAGAAAACCCACAAGCTTTGGGGGGAGGGGACTTAAAAAGCACATTACAATGTATCTTTTCACAAATGAATTTAGCAGTTGTCCTTGGTGAGATGGAATATTGACAACTTATGCCTTGTAGCCTTTCCCTTGTGGTGCATCTGTGGTTTGGTAGAAGTACAACAGCAACCTGTCCTTTCTGTGCATGTTCTGGTAGCATGTATAATGCAATAAATTCTGGAAACAAGTTTGCTCCTTCTGCTTTCTGAAATGGACAAATATTATGGTGGAAATGAAAGCCTTTGGGGAGGTTCTCTTCTGGTTAAACTGCTTTTAGGGCAGTAGGATGGGGGAAGTGACGGGAGCAGGAGATGGTGCTAGAATTGGACAGTGGTGGGAGAAGAAGAGTGATAATCGCCTGGGTTTGCATTTTTCGTAAATGAGAAAAGAGAGTCCTTTCTCCTCTCCCAGTCCCCAACTATAAAATATAATTCCACTCTCAAAGGGTGTGAGCTTCCTCTAGCCTGAGCCTGGTAAGTAAGCTTGTGCCACAAGTTGCTTTTTCCTCTTAGCTGCCCGTGTGTGTGTGTGTGTGTGTGTGTGTGTGTGTGTGAGAGAGAGAGAGAGAGAGAGAGAGAGGGAGAGAGAGAGAGAGAGAGAGAGAGAGAGAGAGAGAGAGAGAGAGAGAGATTTTTTTCTGTGGGTTTTGGTTGTGTTATTTTTAATGCTTTCAGGGAGATCTTGGTGATTTCTGGCAGGGAAGTCATCCTCAGGGGCTAGGTTGAAACTAGTCTTGTCCACCTGGAAACTACCGGACCTCCATTACAGAAGCAAGGACAAACAACAGCTTAGCATTGCATGGCATCCAATTTTCTCCCTTTTGCACAACCCCACCCCTATCTCAAGTGCAAGACAGCCAGGCCCCAGTGAAAGGGAAGGATGGATGAGTTTTCCCAGCACACGTTGCTTTGCTTTCCTTGTAGAAGGATTTTATGCTCAGTCATTACCTTTTAGTGGCTCATATGAAAAATTTTAAAGGAAGAAATGAAAAGATTCTCTCTAGCCAAACCTCTTAGTATTTAATTACAAAATGCAGTTGTAACTACTATAAAAAGCAAGAAGGTATAGAAAAAAATGACTGAAAGAATATGCAAGTGAACATGACTTTCCATGAAGTCCAATATTCCTTTTACAGGCATGGCTTGGGAAATTCCCACTAGCATCTGCAGAATCCATATCATGGAACCCAGATTTATCTAGTCCTGCCAGGGAAAAGGGAGGAGAAACATTATGGGGGAAATTTGACAGAAAATTCGTTGCTCCAGGTACTGGCTGCAATTTCAGAGGACCTCCAATAGCTTAATGGAGTTTCAGAAAACGGGTCCTTTTCATCCCCCTCCCTTTTCCCCCTTAAGAACAATCTATTTAGGAGCTCTGAGACTCAGAGTCCTCAGCCAGGGAGGCTTTGGGACACTCAGTATTTATTCAGTTTTAAACTTCCTCCCCCAGACCAGGAACCATCCCAAGTTCCCAGACAGAATCCTTTAGAGGCATCATTTCCTAAGGATGGGAGGAGGAGGGATCTGCATCCATGCTAGATTGGGAACACTGGAATAGATTTTCCCGGATTTACATTGGTTGGGCAAAAGATGGAGTGTACTTTTAACTTCCCCATTTCTCCCAGCGATGTGGGGAGCGCCATTAGTTGTTGATTGGGGGCCATGTCAGGGAGGAAAACCTTTCCATGTTACAGGAAAGGGCATTCCCTCTGAAACAAAATCAGAAAGCCATTGGCAAAGGCAATCAATCAGACCGCAAGTAGCTATTTACCCCCTTTCTTTCCGGGGTTGGAGGTGGGCTGGGAGTCCTCAAAGGTGCTGGGCAACTTGTAGAGCGAGTAATATGCCCTCAGGCCGGCGGCGACACCCAGGCCGCTTTTGTCTCGGCTACCGGCCAGGCTTCAGAGGCTTTGTACCATGGATTTGGGAGTGACAATGGGCATCTCCCTCAGATTCAAGGCTGCCCAGCCTTACCTCTGGAAGCAAGAAAAAGAATTGGGAAAGGAGTGGCCCAAGGATCTGTCCCTTTGGATTTTTTTTTTTTTTCTCCACATATTTCGGGAATCTACTTGGAGGCCTCTTAGTCAGAAAGGCGCAAAACAACCTTGACCTGGGAGACGCGGTTCCCACAGGCCTCACTGAAGCCCGGACAGGGCAGCTGGTGGGGGCCGGCCCGAACTGGCATTTGGGTTCTTCCCTCTGTCGCGTGTTTTCTTTCAGGGCCTCTCCAGCAGCCGGGGAGAAGACACGGACCCTGACCGACACTGTTTGCGAGGTAGACTCCACGGCTCGCTGGCCCTTCCGAGGGCTGACAGAAATCCCCAACACGGCCACCGCCGACGCTGAGCCTGGCTGGGCCTGTCCACGAGCCAGGCCGCCTCAACTCTCCCCTCCGGCCTCGGCGTGTGCCTAGCCTCACGTCGAGGCCGTGTGTGGCTGCGCGGGCGTGTGTGAATGTGGTAGGGGGAGGGGGCGCTCCGAGCTGCTCCATCCGTCCGTTTTATTAGGGACACATTAATCTATAATCAAATACACCTCATAAAATTTTTATTGAAAGGCATAATATCATTACAGAGGTCTTCCACCTGTTTTAAACAACACGACAAGCTGTGAGAGAGCGTGTGTGTGTGTGTGTGTGTGTGTGTGTATGTGTGTGTGTATGTATGTGTGGGGAGGGGTGGGTTTAGGTAGCGAGAGAAACGAGGGGAGAAAACTCCCCTTGGGCGCCAGGGGGCCGCCCTTAAAGGCCCGCCTGCCTCCGGCTGCTCAAGGTTCTGGCTAAGTGCTAGGTGAGCCTGTGGACGCGCGACCCGCGGCTCTGAGCCCAGGAGCTGGAGAGCCAGAGCCCTGGTCGAGACTGCAGGACCCAGAGTGGCAAGAGGAGATGAACAAATAGTCCCCAGCGCCTCCTCCGGCCGCTGATGGGCCTGTGGTCCCAGCCACCGCCGGGCTGGCCGGGCCGGGTCGGGCCGGGCCACGCCGAGCGGGCTCATATACCTGGGCCTACGGACTCTAATTATCGCGCTTATGTTGATGATGATTTTTTTTTTTTTAAATCACAGCAGCCCCCAGTTTAGCGGACTGATTTACTCCCGGTATTGGTAAATATGATCACGTGGGCCGCGCGACCAATGGTGGAGGCTGCAGCCTGCGAACTAGTCGGCGGCTCCGGAGCCGGCGGGGAGCGGCTCGGCGGCGGGCAGTGTAACCTTGGGTGGGAGCGCACGGCGCCTCAAAATGTCCTCCAGTGGCACCCTCAGCAACTACTACGTGGACTCCCTCATAGGCCATGAGGGCGACGAGGTGTTCGCGGCACGCTTCGGGCCACCGGGGCCAGGCGCGCAGGGCCGGCCTGCAGGTGTGGCCGACAGCCCGGCAGCGTCTGCCGCCGAGTTCGCCTCGTGTAGTTTTGCCCCCAAATCGGCCGTGTTCTCTGCCTCGTGGTCCGCGGTGCCCGCCCAGCCCCCGGCGGCGGCGGCGATGAGCGGCCTGTATCACCCGTACGTGCCCCCGCCGCCCCTGGCCGCCGCTGCCGCCGCCTCCGAGCCTGGACGCTACGTGCGCTCCTGGATGGAGCCACTGCCCGGCTTCCCTGGTGGCGCGGGCAGTGGTGGTGGCGGTGGCGGTGGCGGAGGCGGCGTCCCGGGCCCTGGTCCCAGTCCTGGCCCCGGTGGCCCAGCCAACGGGCGCCACTACGGGATTAAGCCTGAAACCGGAGCGGCCCCGGCCCCAGTCGCAGCCTCCACCTCCTCCTCCTCCACTTCCTCGTCCTCCTCCTCCAAACGGACTGAGTGCTCTGCGGCCCGGGAGTCCCAGGGGAGCGGCGGCACCGATTTCTCGTGCAACTCGTTCCTGAGGGACAAGGCTGCAGCGGCGGCGGGGGGAACCGGGCCCGGGGCGGGGATCCGGTCCGGGCCCGGGGCAGGCGGCTCGTCGGAGCCCTCGGCTTGCAGTGATCACCCGAGCCCCGGCTGCCCGCTGAAGGAGGAGGAGAAGCAGCATCCGCAGCCGCCGCAGCCGCCGCAGCAGCAACTTGACCCAAGTAAGTGCAAAAGAAATTGCCCTCTGATTTATTGCTGAAACCTGTAAGGCTCGAATGTGCAAAACTGATAGTTTTACTAACCTATAAAAACGTCTAGACGCCTACCCATGCCTAGGCGAGCAACACGCATCCATAAAAAAGCTTCCCATAACCACCTACCCTGGGCGCGCGGTTTGTACGGTAAACAGCGCGAGCATTAAGGCTTTTTATGATAATTCCCCCCAAGTTGTGAAAAGCGGCCATCCTTGGTGAAATTAATTTAACGACCTCTCTTCCCCACCCTGTCGTCTCTCCCTGCCTCTCCTCCGCCCCTCGCTCTCCTCTGTAAACCCCCCTCTTCGTAGACAACCCCGCAGCGAACTGGATCCACGCTCGCTCCACCCGGAAAAAGCGCTGTCCCTACACCAAATACCAGACGCTTGAACTAGAGAAGGAATTCCTCTTCAACATGTACCTCACCCGGGACCGGCGCTACGAGGTGGCCAGGATTCTGAACCTCACAGAGAGACAGGTCAAAATCTGGTTCCAGAACCGTAGAATGAAAATGAAAAAGATGAGCAAGGAGAAATGCCCCAAAGGAGACTGACCCAGCTCGGTACCGGCAGCAGCTCTCAAAGGCAACGGAGTTTATCTTTGTGGGTGCTTGATTTCCAGAAACTCTGCAGCGACTCAGACTTTTTTTTTTCCTCCCCCTTGGTAGAAGTGACTGTGTGGTTGGTCTCTGTGAGGTATTTGGGGAACTCTGTATTTGCTCGCTTCTGTGTTGGAGAAACCAAGTGGCTTTGGGGTTTCATCTATTCCACTCCCTCCCTTTCCTGCTTCATCGGTTCCTTAGGAAATGCTATATTTTGTGAGTGCACGCTGGCTTGAGGAGCCCTCTCAATGTGTTAATGTGCCCCATGTTTCTGAAAAGTGCTGTAGTTTAGCTCCCGCAGCCTCACCAAACCGGACCAAGCGCGCCCCAATCCGAGAAGCTGAAGGCAGAGGAAGACACTGTGCATACCCCGGCTGCTCGCCCAGGCCTAAGCCTGAGTGGTTCGGTCACCCACCGGGTTTTGAAAGCCCACTTTCAACAGGGACCCCGCGGGCTGAGACTTCGAGTGAGGCCTAGGAAGAAGCCCGGGGCCTCGGGTGGGTGGGTGGGGGTCTGTTCTTAATGTTTTGGAGCAGTTACTCTTTCTGGGAAGGCTGGGCTCACGTGAGCTGCTTTGGTTTGTGGCCCTTAGGGTTCCTGCTCGAGGACCAGTTGTAAATGTTAATGCTTCCTACCAATAAATGCTAACCTGATCAAATGGAGCCCAGACGCTGGTCCTGAACGTTGTGTCACTTCTCTGACTCTACAAAAATATCACCCTCACCAGACTTTGCCTCTATTCTTGGGAGACATTGCTTAATAATCGGGGCCCTTCCAACTGGCAGGTTTCTCTGATGTTCCTCTGAACTTCCTTTGTGTGGGCTGACCTGGCCTGGAGTGCAGCCCCTGAGGGAGTCTTGGCGCCTCCCTCATCTTGGTGCTAGCATTTCAATGCACTCTGTGCTCTGGGCCCAGTTGTCAGCACCGCAGCAACGTCTGGGGGAGCCGGCAGGCCCCAGGAACCAACCACCCTTTTACTAAGGCTTTGACATAACCCACCCCACGCCTGCCTCAACCCATGGAGCCCCAGCCGCCAACCCCGGTCTCCAAACAAGAGAAAGGCCAACTCTGCGCTCTGGAGCTACTCTCCCAGCTCAGCGGGGCTAGCTGGCTCCGGGAGGTCCAAGCTGGTTAAGCTGTGAGCTTTCGCCCCTCCCCACAGGAGCCCCAAAGTGACCTTAGCGGATCAAAATGGTCAAGGAACAACTCCCGGCCACCCTCATTCCGCCGCCCCCTTCCCTCCACCCAGCTTCTGTGTATGTTTAGCCCCCAGATTGGCCCTCTAAGGTCCGCATTCAGAGGCTAAAATGAAGGTCATTGTAAGCGAGGGTTCAGGCGGAGCATAGTCTTTGCAGGCCCTAGAGGAGGCGGCGGCGCCGGGCGGCCTGGGCTGAGCGGAAGGCGGGGGCGGTGGCAGAGATCTTGGGGATCCTGATGAAAGAGGGGACTCGAAGAGAAAGCAGAGGGGGGCTGGGACAGAAAGCCAAGGCCCAGATCTGGCGGAGGTGCTGTGTATCCCCCACCCCTGCAGCCAGCCCGATACCTAGAGCTCTTTGAAAACAGGAAGAGCCAAGGTGTCATAAAGCCATCGAGCCGGCGAGACGTCTGGAGGTAATGAGTTTACGACAGGCCAGGCGCTTCGCTTTGAAACCATCTCATTTTGATGTTTGTGAGAGGAAAGGAAAAATGCAGACAAAACTGGGTCTTAAAATCTGGACAATAAAATATAAACAAGACTGTGTTGAACCGAGAAGGCAGGGGCTAGGGAGCCCCCGAGTGAGGTGTGAGCACATAGGAAATAAAAATGAGAGATAGGAAGAAGAAGGTGATGTGTTTCTGGTTTTTAAAATGGGCTGAGCATTAGAAGTAGCTTAAGGCGACTGGCTCTTTATAATATTTTGACTGTGGCCACACTCTAGCTGGTTCTTAAAAAAAAAAACAAAAACAAACAAACAAAAAAAAACCCAAAACCAAACAAAGCAAAACACTACAACACCCTGTTACTTGAGAGTAGGAAGGTTAGTGAGCTTGGGTCATTTACTCAGAAAAGAGTCTCCAGAAATATAGTCTGTGGGAAAAGATGAAGTTACATGCCTCTTTACAAAAACGTATATGGCCCTTCATTCCAAACTTCACAGCAAAAATATTGAAATATATTCACTTATCAAAAATACAACCATTACACCTGAACTTGCAGAACGCATTTTTTAAAATGAGACAGAAAAAAAGATTAACCTATCAGGAAACACCTTAGCTGATTTAATAGTTTGGGCTTTAAAAAAAAAATCAAGTGGAATGTTTAGTCAATTTGGCTCTGTCGGTAACTTTTGTTATAAAAGTTTTAAATCCCATTACTGTCCATAGAATTTCAAAGGAACACAAGCCCAAAAGGGACTTTCCAGACAGCCATTCAGAAATCCAGCAAAAAAACTTTCAATTTGGCCTTACTCCTCCCAAATTGCCCAACTAAATGGGCCCAGATCATCAAATTTAGAAAGTCAAAATAGAAATGTTTATTATCTCATGCTAAAAGCAACAGCTTTAAAAGAAAAAATACAATTCCTGACTTCCATACTTCCTTAGTTGTTGAAGTGCTTAGTTCCTTTGAGGGAAAATAAAGCTTCTCGAAAATTGATATTTTAAAAGTTGAGTTTTGTTAAATCTAGCCTGTCCTATAATTGTGCTAAAAGGCACAGCTGGGCTATTACAGAATGTGGACCTAAAGTATCCAACAAAAGTGCTGGAAGCTTTTGGCAAAGACACTACTACAAGCTCTTGGGAGCACAAATAAAATTATTCTCAGCTTTGAAGAGGCCCTGTCGACTTGTTGACAATCAAATAGAGAAGCATTATTGTGTCAGTGGTCCAAACCCCAGTCAAACTAATGAACAAGACTAGAATTGGTTTGAGAGAAATAAAAACGAAGTTGAACTCGGTCCGCGCGATTGGCATTTGGCCACTAGAGAGCGCTGTTGCTCCATTTTCTGATCTCATAAAGCTGTAGTTGCGGTGGAGAAAGGTTTTGATTAAAAATAATTACAATCTTATTTTTAATTCCAAATTAAGATAAATTTAACCAAAAACAAATAATGTGCACTGCTAACTTGTCCATCAGTTTTTTCCAGGCATAAAATTTGGCCCAGCCAGGATTTCGGAAAATTTGGACTTTGGTACAGCGAAACTCCAAAACGCTATGCTAAATTAATTCATTCTATCAAAAACGAAAACGTGTAACAGCATAGATCTTTATTTACGAAGCTAATTTTGCTCTTTTTCTATTCAGATTATAAACAAAATGATTATATATGAAAATTTTTAAAAATGTGTTTTGTCCAAAGAGAAAATTGTATTTTAATATTTTCTAAATTAGGCCTGAATGTGTAGAAATGCATTTAGTAGTGTTGTTTTCCCAGCCCCACCCCATGAATCACACAGTTCTAAAAAGTGTCTTATGACATAGAGATTTGGGTTATCTCTTCTATTTGTTCCCAACTCCATTCCCAAACCCATTCATTTATCAGGGTTCAAACACCAGCGGGCACATAGCATGCAAGGGTGTGCGTACACACACACACACACACACACACACACTCCGAATAGTGAAATAAAAAGGCACCATTACAGAGTTACCATTACAGTTTTTATTGAAAATAATCTTTTAATTGGATATTTGCAAAATAGAAGTATAAACCCTTAACTGTTAGAATCAGTTCCTTCCCCTCTGAATTCAAAGAAAGCTATCTGGTGATGCTTGGCAATAACAAAAGGAAAACAACAAAAAAAAATTTATATATAATCTTACCCCCCTGTCACCCCTAAAACAAGTCTTCAGCCTTCTCTACTAAAATTTCAATAAAGCAGGGCTTTATTTCCAGATCCATTAACAATCTGTGTAACCTCACCATTTCCAGCCATTCCTTGTAGAAATAGTTGGGTCAGACAATATTATTTTTCTGTGCCTTTCCATTTCAACCTTAATTTTTTCCATTTGTAAAAATGATATTCAGTCCGATGGACCGACCCTCAGGATTCCCAATCACACAAGCTGGGCCAACTCACAAGGAATGCCAGGATAATTGAAATCACTGGCCTGCTGCGACTTCGAAGCCATTTGGGTTTTTTAGGCATTGCATTTGGTGTGGAAAGCCGGCGTGGTGTGTTGTAGCTTAAACCTTGGTGGGCTGGGCGTGTCTTTGAGGTCTGTTCCCAAGGCCAGTGGGTCTCATGCCCTCTCAACACTGGGTCCCAGAAGGGAAAGAGGCTCAGCATCCAAGGAACTCACGAAAAAGGCTGATTAGAAGAGAAAAAAAATACTCAGCGGAGAACCATTACATTTACTGGAACACTTATTAAATGGCATTTATTAAATGTTTTACATTTATTAAAACGGGAGAAGAGAGAAGAAGCGTGGAGAGAAGGTTGGTGGTGTAATGCCAAGCAACTCGGGAGAGAGCTGCTAAAATCAGGAATATTTTACCGATTCATACTCAACAATCCATACATAACTCTGGCTGCTTCTCCTCCTCTTTAATCACAAACTAGGCTTAACTTTTTTTCTTCCTTTTCTTTCGGGAAAAATTAGCAACTTTAAGATAAGCCTCGAGCCCACTCTCACACAGCTTATCTCACAGGTTAGGTGAATTAACTAGAATAGTTAGCAGAACACCGGGCCGCCCTCAGCAGCCTAGAACCAGCGCGATCCGAATGCCAGTCTTGAGGCTCCAAGGGGGACTCGCGAGTGTCGGTTCCCGGTGCGCCAGCCGGGGGACAGTCTTTTCAGGTTTGCTCGCGCAGGCATGGGGGCCAAGACCTGGGAGTCTCAAGTCCTGACCTAGGAAATGCCACCTACCCCAGCGTGAGTCCTTTCTGTCCGCTCCTCTATTTACTCCCTCAGCAGTGCTAATGCCCCTCTTCCCACATTCTACAGTCTCCCTGGTTCCTAATACTGACGTCTATCAAGGGTGAAATGATGGAAACTATATTCATGGGCATGATTTTCATTAAATATCAATTAACCTAGAAGCCTCAGCCAGGTATGCAGTGCGTCAATTGTAAATGTACCTCTCGTTTCCACAAGGCCCTTTCTGTTGGAAAGGACTTTGATTCGTTTGATAACGCCAAGAGTTGGTTGGGACCATACTTATGACCTTTAATCAAACTATTTAGACCCAACCAAATGCACGGTCCGGTCTGTCAACTTTGCTGGTCCAAGTTCCCCGTGTTCAGAAATGCAAAACTCATGGCCAGTCTTCATAGGGCTGTTCCAAGGGCTCTAGGAGGGAGTCATTTGCTCTGCAGCCTCCTGGGAGTGTCCTCCCTGCCTCCCCAAGTCTAAGGTTCTGCCGCGCCCCCTCTCAGCGGGCCAAGGCAGGCGTCCTCTCGGCCCCGGGGCACTGCGAGCCCTTGGCAGTGCGGCTTTATGGGCCCCCTTTAAGGCTGGCGGAGGCATCTCGGGGATGGAGTGAGGCGTCCCGTCGGACATTCGGTTCGCCTCGCCTTCGCGTGGATCCCTCCGCGCGCTTATCTCGCCACCATCTCGCTACCTCTCCTCGCAGTGGTGGGGTACGAAAATGCCTCGCCGGCGCGCACCCGGGCGGCGGCGGCGGCGGCGAGACCGGCGGGAGGGGGGACGGGGGGGCGAGGGGAGAGGTAGCAATGGGCAAAGGTTTCTTTCTTTTTTTTTCCCCCCCACTTTTCCCTCCAGAGCAGGACTTGTAAACTGAAGCAAAAAAAGAGTATTCCCGCAGGCCGGGCGCACTTTTTTCTTGTCCCAGTGCGCTAGGGCCGCCTGGTGCCTGAGAGGAAACAGTGGAGGCAGCGGGGCAGGTCATCCAGGGCGTCGGCGATTATATTGCAGCCGAGCCGGTGCGCGCCAGGAGAGGCTGGGAAGGCGGCGGCGCGCGGGGGCTGGGCCAGGCCCCGCGACCCGCGAGGGAGGCGGCGCAAGGCCGAGGCGGCGGCGCCCCAGCCGGGCATGAATGCCCAGTAGCCGAGCACCCGGGCTGTTGGGCCTCTGAGGCGACGCGCACAGGGCGGGCGGGCGGCAGTAGCGACGCAGTCCGGCGGCCACAGCGGCGCGAGCGGCCGCCCCAGAGGCCCCCGCGGCACTGCGGCCGAGCCCAGGCGCGCTCCCCGACTGCTCCACGCCGCCCGCTGGTGCCGTCCTACGTCGGTCCTCGGCCGCCGCCGCCCGGATGAGTTCGTACTTCGTGAACCCGCTGTACTCTAAGTACAAGGCGGCAGCGGCGGGCGAGGCCATCAATCCCACTTACTACGACTGTCACTTCGCGCCCGAGGTCGGCGGCCGCCACGCCGCCGCCGCCGCCCTGCAGCTCTATGGCAACAGCGCCGCGGGCTTCCCGCACGCGCCCCCGCAGGCGCACGCGCACCCGCACCAGTCCCCGCCGCCCACGGGGCCTGGGGGCGGCGGTGGGGGCGGCCGGGGTCCGGGCCAGGATTACTTCCACCCGGGCGGGGGCAGCCGGGCCGCTGCCTACCAGGCCGCCCCACCTCCTCCTCCGCATCCTCCGCCTCCGCCGCCGCCTCCCCCCTGCGGCGGGATTGCCTATCACGGGGAGCCCGCGAAGTTTTACGGATACGATAACTTACAGAGACAGCCGATTTTTACGACCCAGCAAGAGGCCGAGCTGGTACAATATCCTGACTGTAAATCGTCCAGTGGTAATATTGGCGAGGACCCAGACCACTTAAATCAGAGCTCGTCTCCTTCTCAAATGTTTCCCTGGATGAGACCACAAGGTTGGGATGCCTTTTTTTTTTTAAGGGGAGAAATCTGCTTTCATCTCACGTTCTAGCTTTAAAACTCCCCTTTCCTCTCCCTCTCCCGCTCCTTTTCTTTCTTGTTTAGCCGCGGTGGCTCTCATTCATAAAGTAATAAGGTTTTTTTAAAAGTAAAGATGATAGGGACAAAATAGTTGTGAAGACCTTGTCTCTGCTTCTCTTGCCTGCAACACCCTGTATATACAGAGCTGAAGAGCACTCTGTATATTTCACCCGTTAGACCCATTTCAGAAACCTCCAGCAACTTGCAGAGACACCATTGCAGTTTTTTAAACGTTGATTTCCACCTTTTTGTTTTAACCAGCAGCTCCTGGTAGACGAAGAGGAAGACAAACCTACAGTCGCTTCCAAACCCTAGAGCTGGAAAAGGAATTCCTTTTTAACCCTTATCTGACCAGGAAGAGAAGAATTGAGGTTTCCCACGCCCTAGCCCTCACTGAGAGACAGGTAAAAATCTGGTTTCAGAATAGGAGAATGAAATGGAAAAAGGAGAACAACAAGGACAAATTTCCCGTTTCCCGGCAGGAGGTGAAGGACGGGGAAACTAAAAAGGAAGTCCAAGAGCTGGAGGAAGACAGAGCTGAAGGCCCGACAAATTAACTTCTACCTTTAAAATTTTACCACAGACTATTAAAACTAATGGTCAACATATGCTGGTGGACACCACCTATTTTCTTTTTTTGGAAAGGACCTTACCTGTGTTTCAAGCTACCTTCATGTCACTGCTCTTGAGGTTTCTGCGCTTTGAGAGGGATTTGGGTGTTTAAACAAATTTTCTAGTGTTGCATAGAAGCAATACCTGGGCTGTCCTATGAAAGGGTAATTTGATACTGACCTTGTAGCTATATTTTTATAATGGTAGTTTCTAATGTCTGAACTGGTGATTTGCCTCAACAACGTAAACTTCCTAATTATTAGCACTAAATAATTGAATATGAAATGCTTTATTAATCAAACAAGTGCACTTGAACAACTTAAATCTTTTCTTTATGGTGAGTAAATTAAGTATTAATTTAAAAAAATATGCCTGAATAATTTTTACTTTATATTATTTGATTAAAATGTATTATTTATGTTTTTCTTTATGCTTTTATAATGAATGGTTCAGGTGCCTTTTGTTTACTTCTAAAGTAGTTAAAGGTTTCTCTGAGTATTTTGTTGATGTAATATATCAGGGAAAAGTCTGGGCCAAATATTTGAAAAGCACATGTTAGCTAAAGAGTATAATGTGTAGTCCAGGCTCTGGCAGCTTCCTTGAACTTTGGGAAAATGTTGGGCCAGTGACAAAAGTTTCAGGACGTCACAATTGACATTTAATCATTTTTCTATAGTCCATACAAATTATGGCAATTAAATAATCTAGAGTGAATTAATACTTGAAAAACCATTTATAACATTTTTACTCATTAACCTTTCACTCTGGCAAGTCGCCTTGCTTTCATTTTGAACCTCACTTGTAATCGCCTGAAATTGCTTGGTTTCTACACTAGGGCCACCACTGTGATTCTGTTTGAGTATGTGCTATATTTATTTGTATTTCCTTCGCTCTGTTCGCATGCTCCTTTTAAGCCATTTTGCTATGGGCATCTCAGATGGTATGGTCCTCTGCTGTTCTTCAGGCCTCACATATTTGAAACAAACCCTGAGAGCAAATGCAGAAAACTCGAGTGTAAACAACCGCTCCAGAACATAGCTAGCTCCTTAATAAAGAAATGAATCTTTCTAGAGCTAATGTCTTTGAGCGCCGCAAATGTTCCTTTTACTGAATTACATACAATAGCCAGTGCCCTTATAAGGCAGCAACTTGCTCAAGGCTTCTGTCTGATAAGAAAGGGTTGGGGGTAACACACTTCCCATGCTTAAAAAAAAAAAAAAAAAAGAAAGCTGGGATGGGGGATGCTCTTGTAGTCAAGAGAGCTGGCTATATTATCTGTGTTTCATCTTGCTGATAATCCTGCTAAGATGTTATGAAAGCTTTGAACTTCCGAAAAGTACTCAAATTGTAGGCCTGGTAGGGGACAACCCAGAGTCCAGGTTATGCCACAGCTTAATTCCCCTGATTCCCATTGATGCTGGGTTTTGGCATCTGTTATTAACAAGGTATCCATTTCCCATTGGAGCCTGCTCTTGCAGCTGCCATTTTACAGGGGTGGGGGGAATGTAGGAAGGGAGAGGGAAGAAATATAAGAAAAGGATTGTTTTTTTCCCCCAAAATGGAAAGCATCTTTATTAGATAGATGTTGAAAAGCTCTTTTTATTTTAGCCATTTATTTTTAAAGTGGCACATTTGTGTGTTTGTACATGGTGCTGGGAATAGATTAGAGACACATTTTAATTTCCAGAGTGGTTTTTATTGCACAGGTAAGAAAAGATGATCTTTAGTTTGGGGCCAGTCTTGCCTGCCCCCTTAGGTATTGCCAGGCATCTTTCTGCTGTTCCACTAACCAGAGAAATATTGGTATTGGCTAGGTCAGAGATGAAGCACCACCTACCTGGCTTTCCACCCTGGGAAGAGGCTCTTTAATCCAGGAAAGACAGTTTTAAATCATGGGTGGCCGAGGCTAAAACACTTGGATGAGAGGAGACAGCTGCAAATGCACATGCTGGATTTGAGAATGTTTTGCATTGTGTGCTGCTGCCTGAAATATTGGCTATTACAGAGAAGGATGCCTAGGGCTGATGGCATGGCTGGGGAGCAGCCCCAAGCATAAACTATCCAAAGATCTGTGCTTATCTAAACTCTAGTTGGTTTAAGGGAGTCTTCTGTATATTAGCAAAACTTGATCTCCCACTCAAAAATGCTCCCCAAATATCACTTTTAGAACTGTAGATTTGAGCAAGTCTCTTTATTAGGTGAGGGACCTAGTGCATGGGTAGACGTGGAAAGGTGAAGGGAAGGTAAAAATGTCCCTTCCTTGGCATTCTGTGCTGATCTGGAAATGAACCTTCTGACCCTGCTGGTCCCCTACACCATGATCATAGCTCATATACAGAAAATGACTTCATTTCAATAACTGATACATTTGAGAAGTGAGTTTGTACATATACATAGATTATACACATGGAGAAAGTGTTAGTTATGAACGTAGGTATATGTATTTTCTTCTGTAGTTAGGAAACACATAGGTTTGTCTCCAAATAAAGACCCTGAGGAGTTACACATCACACATATTCGACACCTTCTCTTATAATGGCTAGACATCTCCACCCCTCCATCATGGTATCTCATATAGACAGAGGAACAGTGAAGAGCACCCAAGTTGCCTTTCTAATTGGCTCAGATCGGTAAACATTCAAGCTTTGTAGCAACAAACAAACATTTTTTGTTGCAAAAATTTGCATAAACCTTCAGAGAACCCTTTGCAAATCCAGGCAGTGCTTTTCTGCCCGTAGCTGCAGCAATCTGCCTAAGTCTGTAAGAAAAAATAGGACCCTCCAATGTTAACAATGAAAAAGCTAAGCTTTCCAAGTGAATTAGGCTTTGTACTTGCAAGAATGAGAAACACAAAAGAGGATGTAGGTCTCAGTCTAGAGAAAAGACAGTTCAGGGATGCCATTTTGTAAGGTTCCACAAAGATCAATGCATTGCTTACTTCTGCACAGAAGGGGAAAAAGCAAATATGGCTGCCATTCAGTGCCAAGAGTCTCTTCCCAGTCCTCGTTCCCCAAGTTGAAAAGGAGGGTCATGAAGCTCTGCTTTATTTGGGTAAAAGGGGAGAAAATAAAAAGACAAATTGATTATCGAGATTATTTCTCAGAAAATTTTTAGAATTCAATACTCTTTCCTCAGTTCATGTGTATAGATCAGTAGAAAGTGTTCTAGACTTGAGAGGGCCCAACAACTTGCTCCAACTCCTTGTGTAATAAAACATTTTTTAGTCTTCAATGCAGAAGGTGTTGCCATTTCACATTCAATCTTTTGTCTTCTACTTCCAAGGTATTTTCTGAGTCCTTGGGCATCTGGGGGTGGGAAGGGGAAGAGAGAATATTTGAATGAACTCTTGTCTGCTTCTGTGGTTCCCTTTAGCAAAATTAGGACCCACTGGCTTTTCTAGAAAGAATATGACTTTTGCTGACAAATGGCAACAGAAGTGCTTTAATAAAAAACATCCAAGGTCATCTGAATTTCCTCATAGGTTACAAATTGTCTATTCCAGAGGATGGTGTGCCATTTCCTGCTGAAGTGTACATTCACTGAGGTACTTAGTGTGAAGATGGTACTAGTAGAGAACTTAAACACACATAACCAATACAAAATACAAATATTGTTAGTAGTCCATAAAGGCTATCTTTAAGGAAAAGATTGGCAATATGCTGGCGGGGTGGTGGGGGAGATAACCTTTTTCAGGCACGTACTGAAACCTGGATGACCATGCCCATGAGGGGAATACTGGAGGCCAGCTGAGGACATTTACTTTCAGGCAGAGTTCTATGAAAAGTGCAAAGATGTGACACCTGCCTTTGAGGAAAAACAATTGTTATTTTTGACTGGTTTTGGGGAGTCACTCCTTTTCTGAACAGGAAAAGGAGAAAGGAGCCCTCCTCTTCACAACTGCATTGAATAGACTTTTCAATGGGCAAATATTTGGGGTTCAAGGAGAAAAAGAGGAGCTAGGATTGAATTTCACAGAAATGAGAATTGCTCTCAGAGGGGATCTAAAGCAAGGAATTTCAGAGGGGATCCCAAATGATTACTTGTAACCCAAGACTGTCTAGGAGGATGTTTATACAGAGACACTGACCAAACAGTGGATGCCCAAACTTGTTTTAGAGAGGTTGACAAGTACTTAAAACCATTTCAGCTATTGGACTGGTTGGTAATTCTTCTACCAAAGAAATCCCCAGCAAATGGAAGATCTGAATTTATATTGGAGAGGAGTGGGAGGGGAGATTGTGCTTTCTTGGTCTGCAGAGCCCAGATTTTCTGGGCAAGATCACTGGGGTTTGCTTGCCTTAGGTAAGAGGGTAAAAATGAAAGTGCTTGGCTACCCCTCTGGACAAGCCTTTTATGAAGGGAAGGGAGGAGAAGCCAAGTTATCAAGGTAGTGGAAGACATTGGGGGTTTGCTGGAGGAATGACCTCCTTAGCACCTGAGCCAACCATTTCCAACAGGGGCAGCCAAAGGCACAGAGGTTTTAAGCCAAATTAAATACACACACACGTTCCTAGAAAAAGAAGAGAGGAGAGGCGGAGAGCGAGGGAGAAAAGAGAGAGAGGGTGGAGAGGAAAGAGAGAAAGACCAACAGACCTGGGAGACAAGAGGAAAAAAGGACTGGAGGAGTGGGACTGAGAGAGAGAGAAAGGAGGGAGAGGACAGCAAAAAGCGAGAAAAAGAAAGACGGGGAAGAGGAAAAAACATGGCGCTTGCGAGCTGTATGTGCAAAATCCGCAAGGAATTGCAGTAAATTCCTTTTTGTTTGAAGAAAATTTACAACTTGGTAATAGACCTTTTTATGACCTATTTGCGGTCGTCATTGGCTGCGGCTGGTCATGTGCAGGCGCCGCTCGCCTTCACGGCCTTTTTCCTGATTTCCCAGGCGAATTTCCCCCCGCATTCTGCTTTCCCAGAGCCTCACCCCCTCTTTTTCTAACCTTTGTCTCTGCAGAGGTGGGCTCCAGTCGGCGGCTGCGGGGTTGCGGGGTCCGTTGCGGCCTCGGCTCCTGCCCGGCGCCTGGCCTGACCCTACGGCCGCTAGCTCCGGACGCACCGCTGCCGCCTCCGGAGCTGGTGGGGAGCCCGGAAGGAGCCCCAGGCGCCGAGCCCCCCGCCGGCGCTGACACCGCCTGCCGGCAGCAGCAGGCCTGCTCCGGGTGACTAGCCGCGCGGTTCCGACGCGGTTTCTTCTCCAACATGAGCCAGTTCCTGCTGCCCAGAGTGCGCGCAGCCACGCTGTGCTTAGTGGATTACAGCAGCCGCCCAGGCCGACCGCCGGCTCCCGCTGGACAGCCTCCGGGTAAGAGTCACCCCTTCCCCGCGCCCCGAGAGCTGCCAGCGAAGAGCTCGA